ATCACTTTCTTCATTCCTATCATCGTCTTTCTTCAAACTACCCCTTTTTGGGAACCTAGGAATGGCAACAAGAGAGCGGAACTTTTCTTTAATAAGCAACAATGGATCTTTATCTATCAATTGAGAGTCACGATAAGCTTCCCTGAGAAAAACGGAATCCCTATCCCCTTTCAAAGACACATAGAACATGTCAGGATGCCTTATTATCATCCCTCGAAGTTGCTGAGAGAATCTGAATTCCTCTCGAAAATGAGTGAGGTGGTCAACAAGAGTTCTCTTCTCAACAGTTAGGCTCAACATCTCATGTACAACAGCACAAGCATGCTTTTCCTTCTCTGGTGTTCCCGATCTCAATCCTGAAAAGTCTGAATAAGGGCTTATATAAGGCATGTCTCGAAACTTACATAGCCGCCTCATTTCACCCTTAGAAAGATTAAGACCCTTGGGAAGCTTAATTCTATTGAACCTAAGCGGTCTATCTATAATCAAGTTCTTCTCTTCCAACTCTCTAGCTCGATTTTCCTCTTCAGCTAGTTCAGCAGCTGATACTGCAAGCTCAGGATCCCAATGAGTTAATTCCAAAGCAGGGCCTCGTTCAGTTTGAACAACACGAAAATACTGAGGGTATCGCTGACAAATCGTGTCACGAAACTCTAAAGGAAGCCCAAGATCAGTCCTCAAATGAGCAATCTTCTCCAACAGAATCCGCTTCTCCATTGACATCATCAGTAACTTCCTCAACTTAACAACCAACAAGCCTTCCATTTCATTCCTGACTCTCAGCTCATCCAAATATAGCTTTTCGGCTTCAGGTGTCAATCTAAACCTCAATGAATAAGCCCCCTCCTCCATGATTTCAAACACTCCAGGAAACTTCCTCAATAAAGCAATGAATCTGCGCCTTTTCTCAAGACCCAGGTCTCTTCTATACCTCCCCAATGACCTAAGTGACATGATTCTATCAGGTTGACTCACTAGAATCTTCCTTATCTTCAACACCAATTTAAGCTTCTTGTCCCTTTGAATCACGTTATCAAAAGGAACCTCTTTTCTTCTCTTAACAGCAGCTCTTACTGGCTCGTAAGGGACATGGGGTTTTCTCAGGTTACCCAAGGAAGTAAAACCCTTATCTTGAAAAACCAAGCTTTGGCCCAAAAATGGCGTCTTTTCGGAAACATTGTTCAAGGGACGGAAATGGGATTTCGTACAAAGTTTTGGTTTGCCGTGAAATGAGGGATTGTAAGAGAGGAACAGGGGAAAGGAGGTTGATATTGAAGCTTTGTTTGAAGCAAGCAGAAGCAGAGGTTCCATTTTCAATTGTTCAAGTATTGATAGAAATTAATAAAAAGATAAAGAAAGTAGAGTTTTGAGGGAAGAATTACCTGTTTGGAATAAAGGGTGAAGCTCGTTCGGAACTGAAGTTTCGGATTAGGGCTTATAAGCAAACCCCAGTTTTAACATATGAGATTTTTGTCATCTACAAAAGGATTTTTCAGTGTAAAATTATTGAGTATGAAGGGCAAAACTGTCATATTGAAACCAAATTTGTTTGAAAGGGCAAAACCAATTTTCTTACCTAGGCCAAGGAGGATTGTCTTTCCATGGCTAAGTGGAGTAAGGGAATTATGACGAACAAGTATTCAACGTACATTTGAGCAATTATGCTAATTATTAGTTTTGATAGAAAATACAAATTTACTGTTACTTTTTCTTTTTTGAATAATTGAGTTTTTGGTTAATCAAAGAAAGGCAGGAAATGATATTGTGTAAGAAAATAAACTGTACATAAATGAAAAGAACGAAACCAACACCAAACAAAAATGCTATCTTTCAATCTCCAGTAGCTTTTACATGATCCTTTTCAATGTTTTGCATCCCTCTAAGTTCGAATTACCGGAATATACATGCATTGTGAAATGTTTGAGGGAAACAAATAAAGACTAAAACAGTCAAACACATACATGTTGATTTTTGGCGTATAATTGTAGGTGTGATTGGTCATATTTGTTCCGTATCTTTCTTAATCGGTGATGATGTATACACATCATGTATGCGTAGTTGCTCGAACCCGAAATATTTAAGAAGAACAACACTCATTTTTATCACTGAAATCATTCATTGGATTCAATCTAGCTTCCTCTTTGAATAGAAGAGTAGAGTATGCCTTAATGAGTACCAGTTTTATCACATTTTTAATTGTGAGTTTCGTGCATATATTTTAAATTTCTGCTATGCTCTAATCTCGAATTCTCTGTAACCTTTGTATTCTGTATGTTTAGGTTTATTCTTATGCACCGTTTGCTTATAACCAACAGCAGTAGCCTTCAATTTAGCTTTTCTGCCAATTGAAATTTATTTGTGTTTGATTATATAGAAAGGTTGATTTTGGTTGTTGCGTATTATGTTGTTGCTGTGGATACATTGTCATGGAATTGTTGTGGTTTTGGTAAACCTCCTATTGTCCGTACTCTTGATCTGAACAACTGTTAGACTCTCGTAGACCCTCTATTGTCTTCCTCATGGAAAGCAAACAGTAACATGTAAAACATGGAACACTTTATAAATCGATTGTGTTGGATTCGACATAGATGTTACAGGTGAATAGGGAAACTTGCCCCTTTGTGGTCTCATGAATGGGTATTTAGAATTCAACATCACCGTAGTTCACTTCTATTTTTCACTTTTATAACGTAGGATTAGATTGATGGAAATAGCAACTACAAACAGAGTTGTTGGCACTAAAGGGAAGTATAAATAAATAAAATATAGCATAACAATAAAATCGTGTCGTGGTGATCCACTGTCTTAGAAGTTATTTCGGTCCGATAAGTGTAATCGCAACGATGGTCAAATGCCCCCGAGGTTAACACGGTTATCAAAAAACTCGTATACCCAAGAGATTGGAGTGGACAAAGGTGGTATTGCTCTTCGCCACTGATAATTTTAAAATAGGAAAAACTTTGAAGAAACGTTTGTAGAAAGAGAAGAAAGCTTAAAGAGAAAAGAAGAAATGTTTGCTTGATGATTTGAAAATGCTACAAAAGTTCCGTATTTATAAGTGTATTTTTCAGACAAGAAACGAAGACAAAGGCATGAGTTACGGAATTAACTTATTGGATGTAATATTACAACAATAAATCTCTACATAAATGACTGTAGCAGTTGAAATTAAAATGTTGTCAACTACGAACTTAAACAAAAAAAAAATCTAGGTTCATAGTCAAAATACACAGGAAAAACCAGCTATAATAGTTATTAAAATCACAACAATAAAATTTTGAAAATTTAGCCATGCCAATTTACAGAAAATATCTGTTTCACACTTTAAAAAACATCCATTTTTACATTTGAGAAAATATATCTATAAATACTATATCAGAAATTTCATTTTAGTTTTCTTGAAAATATTTTCCTTTAAACAATTTTCCGATTTTTTCCATAAATAGAATATACACACAATACATGTCAAAGACACATAACAACCACAAGCCAAATTGAGACCACAACACACATATGCAAGGGAGTTCTAACCACATTTAATATAAAAGGGAAAGGGAAAAGGTGTCCCTTTAAATACCTTCTCAAAGGTGTATTCCTATCCAACGTCGGATAAAAGACTTTTAGTTTCTATAGCATTTCTAACATAGATTATTCTTTAGGATAAATTATACTAATGGTCAATGAACTAGATTACACTTTGACCGTTGAAATTAAAAAATCTTCATTGGAGTTAATTTTATAAAAAAAAATCTTTATTTCAATCGTTAAATTATCGAATCATAAATGACAACTAACCTATCATATTTACATATTGTATACATTTTAAAAATAATTTAATGTCATCCAAGGAAAATAACATGCGAGCAACTGAGCATGTTGACTTAACTTTCATTTTCATATAGGCGAGCTACGTAAGTTGTCGTTTATGATTTGACAACCTAATGATGGAAATGAATGTTCTCTCTAACGATAGTGACTCCAATGAAGGTTTTTTGGATTTTGGTGACTGAAGTGGAAGCATCCTAAAAATTCAATGACTATCAGTGTAGTTTATCAGACTCTTTATTCAGAGTGTTACTTTAAAATTAAGATAAAATACATAAACAGTCATTTGATTATAAGACATTGTTTTATTTAGTCGATTATTAAAAGTTACATAATGGTCCATCAACTATTGGATATTACTTTATTGAGTCATTCGACTATTAAAAATTACAAAATAATCACACGATTATTCATAGGTTTAAAACTCATTATTTCCTGTTAGAGAATTGACAACAGTTTGAGCTAGACATTAACTTGTTGATTGTGATATGATAAAATTTGATCTAGAAATCTCAAACTATCATTAATTTTTTAATAAAAAAGGACGAGTTTGAAACATATAAATAATCGAGTAACTATTTTGTAATTTCTAATAGTTGTGGACTTAATAAAACAGTGTCATATAATCAAGGGACAACAAAGCAACGGTCTATAATCGGGGACTATTTATGTACTTTACTCTTAAAATTAATAAGAACATAAAGAATGTTTGAATCATAATGTTAATCAAATAACGATAACTTTAATGTTTTGAACTAAAATGTTCATTTTTTTCCACACGTACAACCGATGAAATGAGGAACTAAAATAGATCCTTTTATATAATGCACGGACTTGTAATGAACTTTAACCCAAAATAATTGTGTACTTAACCACTAGTAGGGAAATGCTTTCAGAAAAAATAAAGCCTATTATTAGGGAAATCTTCAAGGGACTTGTAGAGTCTACTCATCCCTGTAATCTAATACACCAAATATAAGTAAAAATACTGGCACGTTAAAAGCTTAACAGGGAAATGCGTACGAATTAAACAGCGACACCTAAAAGTCAACCGAATTTAATTTGGGGTTGGCTGGTAGGATCTGTCGTTCGTAGGCAAGGAAGCCCCCATTTATATAAAACCTCATTCGAAGTCCACAGAATTGATATCACAAATCTGTCGAGGGAAGAATTAATTACCCATCGTCCTCTGTCTTAACTCCTTTCACGTATTGGGTTTCTCTCATTTTCTTCCAAAATTCTACCCCCCCACAACGGCAAAAATAAAAGAAATGGATAGACGGCACCGGAAGCAAGCCAAGACCACCGCCTCCTGCTCTCAAGGCAGGGTTGTTTTCATTTCCTATTGTTGATTTCACTATATTTCTGGGTTTGTCTTAAAGTTCCATCTTATAGTGTTAATGTTATTGCAGAGGTGAGCAGCATTGAGTGGGAGTTCATAAACATGTCTGAACAAGAAGAGGATCTTATTTATAGAATGTATAAACTCGTTGGGGACAAGTAAGTAAACCTCAAATAACTCTCTTTGATTTCATGATAAATACATAGTTATCACTGATTTCAGAGACTTAAATATTATTTTTTTTGCTTTATATGGAGTAGTACTGGGTTGGTTTCTTCGTCCCAAAAGGTAACCTAATACTTGAATGATTCATGTAGGTGGGGGTTAATTGCAGGTAGGATTCAAGGGAGAAAAGCTGAAGAAATAGAAAGGTTTTGGATCATGAGACACGGACAAGTATTCGCCAACAGGCGTAGAGATCACCAAAACTGATTAACAATACATCTACTTAATGTTTATAAGGAAAGAATTGCTCTCTGCCTCTTCCTTCATTTCTTTGGCTTTTGCTTTCCCTTTCCCTTGTAGTAGTATGTTACCAGGTGGTTTTTTTTGTTGTGATGGAAATGGAAGTACTTGTAGCATTAGTATAATTCCTTCCGTCCATCCTACATACAAGGTAATCAAGAATAAAGATATATGGTAGTATTGTTCAATCCAACCTATTAATAATACATACACACGTAACAGTTTGAATACTTTAGAGAAAATACTTGATGAATTCATATCAGATTTTATTAAATATTTAAAATAATCAACCTTGAAATCTTCATCAACCGTTATTTAACAAGGAAACAAAAGCAACCCATGACTATGACCCTCAATTGTAACATGATGTGATTAATGATTAAAAAGGCATATTATACCTTCCAATTCTTGCAACCTATTATGCATGCATGCCGACCAATTCTTCAATTTCTATATTTGCATATTAAGATTGAAATACAAGTCTTTCAAATATACTTTTGACCGAGTGTTCTTAGCTGTCTGTATTTTGGTGTGTGTTTTATATTTTTATCCGTAAATATAATTTTAATTCTCTTTAACATATTTGACTCACATAATATAATCGAGTCTTGGTATTTTATGTATTATTCGATAGTACAAATTGTAACGACATAGTTACTATTACGAAGTTTTGCACCATCGTTCCTTGCACTTCTTTATTCTTGAGGCTAAAAGTTTCACCAACAAACAATCTTTCAGCTTAAATAATCAGTATTATTTGTTGATAATATAATGATAAAATATAGAAATGGTGTTTTTGAGAAGAGTAAACCTGATTGTTGTCTTGTGTTGAGTCAAAAAGTCGAAAGGCCGAATGGCCATGGTCAAGAGGTTCCCACTTCCTATAATCTGTCATGTTTCAAACATCAATCCTCTTTTATAAAAAGCGCCACTACTTTGTTTTTGCTTCATCTTTTTCTTAATTGTCGGGAAAATAAAACAACTGTTTTTGTATTTTGTTTATAATACGATAAATAGATACAGACTAAAACATAAATTAGCTACAGTCTAAGATATTTGTGGGTCCAATGATATGGATATGACAAGAAGCATACCTCGGGCAAGTGGACTTCACAGTATATCAGAATCATCAACCAACTATTGATCAAAATGATTCTTTTTTTTCATTCAGATAAAAGAAAGTATCGTTATTTTCTTTTTCATGTTTGTTTTGATTTTCAATCACAGACTGTAACTTCACAATACATATTATTATTATTTAATTATGATAACAAATTAAAGTCACTAATAAAAAAAATAACCTTAATGAATCAAATACTTTTCATGTACATGCACAAATCAAATAACCTAAGTGGTTAAGGGTTTTGTTGTCATCCATTGAAGTTCAAGATTTGAGCACCACATATGTCATATGTACGAATGTTCATTGTCAAATAATTAAAAGTCTTTGAACAATTATTATTGTATATTCACCCTAGATTTGTAAGAAAAAAAAACTATTACTGCATGTCAAACCCCTACACCGTATATGAATATATAGATGCTATAAATAACTGAAAAGATATGAGCTGTTAGGCATTTGTTGTAACCGGACCTTTGAGGGAAAAGTCGACTAGTTGTAACGACAATGTTTTTTCTTTTTGAAATGATTTTATGAAATGTTGGGAGTCATCACCAATCATTTTTAAGGTGTCACTGGACACCTAAAATCGGGTAAATTTAATAAAACAATTTATTTTATCAAAAATACCAAATTTAGTTTACGAAAACCAGAAAACATGTTGGGGAGTCGATTACACGTGGGGAAGGGTAGTACCCCACAACGCCCATAAATTGGTACATAGTTGATTGCCCTATATTTAAAAATTGTAAGTTTTGAGTCCAAAGTTTTATTTAATTCAAAAATCATTATGGATGCCAAGTTTAAAAAAAAAGATGTTGGTTTACTAAGACCAATAATGATCACCCTCGACCATGTAATGCGAAAGCTTCGTTATTGATCTACATAAACGAACATTGCCTTAAAGTTTAAGAAATCATGATATGGAGTTTTGAAAAGAATGTTGATTTACTTCGGGAATTACCAGTGGTCACCCTTGAGCATAACGCATAGCATACACTATTAATTCCTTGATAAATGAATATTGCCTTATTATTTTAAAAATCAAGATGCAACTAAACAACCACTTAAAATATCTAATTATGCTAGGTGGGTTAATTAAGACAATCTCTAACTTAAAGTGTCAAATTATGTAACTTAAAGAACCTAGAGGACTAAAGTAAAAAATGGAGGTTCTGATATTAATCCTAATTTGTTTTAAGAAATTATTGAATCGAATAATCGAAATGGACCATCGAGCATGTTAATACGAAAGCCAATTCGAATTACTCCCTAAATTAAATGTTTAAAATGATATTTAAACCTAAAGTGGAGACTCTAATATTAATCCTAATTTATTTTGACCAATTATTACTTCGAATAATCGAAATGGTCCCTCGGGCATGTTACTGCGAGAACCAATTCAGATTACTCCCTAAAGTAATGGACTAAAGTGTGAGAAGTCTAAATCTAAGACTAAAATTAAAGTTTAATGTTCTAATTATGGACTAAATTGTAACAAGTCTAAGTCTAAAGGATTGATCCTAAGATCTAATGAATTAAAAAAAAACTTCAAGGAAAATAAATTAAATAAACATGCATAAAAAATCAACATATATTAAAGTGTACAAAATTAACTTTAAAGACTATTTAATTATTTACAAGTTACCAAATAAAACTATTAACAAAATAGTTTTAGGGCTAATTAAAAAATTAATCTAAAGACTAAATTAAAATATATAGAATAGTGACTAAAATATACAAAATAGTAACTTTAAAAAATTAGTTCAAGGACTAATTTAAGCTAAATATACCAATTTCATAATAGTGACTAAATTGAATATTTGTTAAAATCAAACATGCAATTTGAGAATTAAACGGTGACCTAAATGTGAATACAAGCTAAAATATGAGTGACTAAAGTATAATTATTCTAATTTTATAAACTGAAATACTCTAACATGCAAAATCTGTACAATTAAAATATCAGGCCGCGAAAATTAAAATAAAATTGAAATGACCTAAAAGCAATACTATTCTAAAGTTTCAGTGACTAAAAGTGAATTAATCCAAATCTCGTGATATAAATACCTAATTATAGTTTAACCTAAACTAACCTAATGCTAATTCCAACTCTCGACTGCCTCACCCTTCTATGTTTTCTCTCAAACATCCTTTCCTTCTCTTCTTAACCGAGAGACTCCACCTCTTACTCCGACAACCACTTTTCATGATGGGGAAGCAACAAGGACTTCACTCAAACCCGATCTCCACCTCGCAACCCCTATTCTCCACCAACAGGCTCTCCTAGAAATCCACTCCATCGTAAATCGGCTTCGTTTTCTTTTCGATCTCCACCTGCGGTGGTCGATTAAACCCGAACTCACCTAAAAAAATAACCAAAGCTCTTTATTTTGCTCCTTTAAACTCTATAGATCCCAAAACAAACAACACCCTCTGACAAACGTCATTAATAATTTATCCTCAATCTCAGTAAAAAGAAAAATAGAGAATAGTTATAACGAGAGTAAGGGTAGATCCGCAGGGACTAAAGAAGTTGCCGATAATTTAGTTTTTGATTTCTGATTTGGATAAAAATTGCAAAATAAATAAAGAAGGGGTTTGTTGATAGTTTATAAAGAAAGTAAATTTAATCTAAAGGTAATAAAGAAAGTAATTTGGCTTTAGCTTTGCCTCAATTTAGTCGATCATTGAATAGGATCTTAGCTTCGGATTCATGTCGATTATAGTCTACAGGGCCTAACTCATGTAACTTGTTTTTCTCTCAAGTGAACCGATCATCCAAAACAAATATTTGGATCCCAGTCCATATGTGTGCTAACCGTGACAATCGTTTGTTAATACCAACTCTGTTTTAGTTTTATAAAAAACCCGACTCAGATTATAGCATCTTGATGAGAATTGAACCTGATTTTAGTTTCTCTTAGCGGACTGCCACTAAGTGTGTTCATAGGAAGTCGAATGTGCTACAAGTCGATCCTTCATCCCAACTATTAATCGAAATTGTAATCAATCCAACGTGCACTTTTTGAAAAGATAACGTTTTTGATTTTAAAAGGATAATCGATTGTCAATCCTTGATTCCAAAAAATTGAATATGTAACTTGAAGGGTATGAGGTGCTTTTCAATTCTCATTATCAGAATTGAGTCATTGTTTCAGCCTTTGGCTTATAAAAAACTTAGCTAAGCATGGTAGAAACCATACTTAATATTTAAAGATAAAGAAAACTTTTAAAGAAAAATAAAGAAAAACGAAAGGAAAAGAAATGAAATGAAATTTTATAAAACTAAAAGAAAAAACAAAAGAATTCGAGATATGAGAGATGATTTTGAGCTTACCCCAATGGATATTTATACTCTCCTAAAACCATAAAAATGTAGCATAGATGACAAAATAGATAATCCTTGGAATTTGTTTGAATTAAATTCTAAAAAAACAAAGATAAATCCTAATTTAAAGTTTGAATTTGCGGCTGAGTCTCCCATCTTCACGAAAATGTTGACTGGACATTATAAAAGATATTGATTTGAAGTCACATTAGACGTAGTTATGCTCACTAAGCCGACCTTGATTTCGGAAAATTAAAAAAATTACAGAATTTTATCTCTTTTAACACCATATATGAAACCTACTGTCATGCATAGAAAATGAACGAAAACGCCAAATCAACAACTTAAATCGACTAATCAAGAAGTAATTATCAATAAAATATTAACTAATTTAATCACTAATCATCCTCAAACCCTAAACACGACCTAGTGACACTGAAATACCATCTACCCTTTGACCTTTGCTCAGCCACTCTAAACTGACCTCACTTGTCTCCGACCATGGACCAGACAAAACTCCCCATGTAAAGTCGACCCCCTTTGTATTCTATTACTCCTTTTCCTCAACAAATAATTTGCATGCAATAAAAGAATAAAGAAACGAAACTGGAATACCTTTCGAAAATGAATTTTTTTTATTTCAATTGAACCATCAAACATCTTATAAAGCTTTACAAAAAGAATATTAATTGCACTACTCACAAGTTAATTAACGAATAGCAGAAATTAAATTCATAGGTGACATGTAATGACTCAAAACATTACGAATTTCACTTTATTTTTAAATCAACTAAACCTTCTCTAATATTGATAACTATAACACCACCAACCTAGTATGGTCGTAAATCAAACTAAAGATGTCACATTAACTAATCAAAACTTAATTAGAGGAGCATCAAAATTAAACCAGACAAACAACCTTCTAAATAATCATAAACCGTTCATTTATGGACTAAATTGCAAACCATATACATAAATCAATTCACATCTATCAATAGTACAGAAGAATTGTTAAATGGAGGGGTCCATGAGCAATTCAACATGTAGCGGTAATAATGATACAATTGAGTATTACACAAAAATGTTACAAAGCTGTAACAATTTATGTAATTCTATAGTAAATTTGACTTATTTTAAGGACTTGTAGTAGAATTTTTCGAAATATGGCAACATCACAGGCCAACATAGAGACTCCAATTTCCTTCCAGAATTTGTTTTTCCTGGAAAAATGAATTTGTTTCACACCCAAAATGAAGATTAGATGGGAACACTTGAAGGATAAAACAGCCGCATTGTTTCTCACATTTATTCATTGGTTTCCCAGAAATGAGTGAACAAAGGAAGAAATGATGGAGGCCATGCTAGAGATTTAGTTCTTTGAAAAAGGGAGCGAAGAAGCTTTGTTTGTATCCCAAACAACCCCCTATTCAACGAGACAAGACATACTGCACATTATTAATGATTATATTCACATTCCGGAAGGTGGGGTATACCCAAAATTATAATTATTCAGAACTTTAAAAGAAATTGTTAGCCTTTATTACGTTCTTTTAGACTCTTAAACTTTTTATTTTTTCTTAAACTAAATTAATTGATAAAAAATATTTTGTTACTTGTTAATATTGGTTTAAAATTTTATCTTGAAAATAAAATTAAAAACACAAAACTTATATCAATTTAACATGTATGTTATTTTTTCGTCAATTGAATCAATTTGATAAAATAAAATAAAAGTTTAAGAGTTAAATGAGATAAAAAAAACATTTAAAAGTTAACTTCTTTTTAACTAGAAGTTTAAAAATATTTAAAATAAAAAATATTATCAAATAAAAGTTTGATTGTCTCTATCGATTATTGATATCTCAATTTAAACTAGCGAGTCTCCCAAAAATACTAAAATAGTTAAGAGACAATCAAGAATATTTATGTTCGTCTTTCAAATTTTTCTCTATAAATAAATGAATTTTTCAGTATGTGTCTAACTATATTCTTTAAAAACAATAATAATATGTTAATTTATTAATAAAAAAATTACTTTCAATATATACACATATTATATATACAACTATTCAAATCAAATATCTTAAAGAAAAACAATACTTCTTTTAACTAATAAGCCACTTAATATATTCAAATATTACTAAAATTTATAAGAATATATCCTAAAGAATCATACTTTTCTCCTTGTCATTTTTTTCTTCTAGAAACTTGTCGATTAAAGGATATATCGAGTTTAGTTCGAAGAATAGAACTTGACCCAGTCCTTGACAATTTCTTTTTTAAAAGGGAAAAATAAGAAGAAATTCTTGGACTCCACGTAATTAGGGCTTCTTCTCAATCACTTGAAAGTAGGGGTGTATTCGGTTCGATTTTTTACCAAAAATTGAACCGAATCGAAATAAATGGTTTTTTAAAATTTAAACCGAAACTGAAAACCGAATGATTAAAAAATCGAAAAAATCAAAACCGGTTTTTTCGGTTCAGTTCGGTTTTTTTAACGGTTCGATTCGGTTTATCGGCTTTTCAATGAAAAAATCACTTGAAACTATAATTTTTTTTAAAAAAAATTACCTATTCGGTTCAATATAGAACAAATGGGTTCTATATGAAAAACCCAAACCGAACCGAATCAAAAGAATGAAGACTTTAAACCGAACCGAAAATCGAACCGTATAATATCAAACCGAACCGAACCGTTTTACTCGATTCGTGTCGATTTTTCGATTTTCTCAATTTCGTTGCTCAGCCTAGGGATGGCAACTCAACCCGAATCCGACGGGTTTCGACCCGACCCGACCCGATCGGGTCGGATTTTTTAAAAAAAAAATTCGGGTTCGGGTCGGGTCGGGTTTAGGGTGAAAAAAATCCGACCCGACCCGACCCGAAAAATATATATAATTTTATCCTATATATTTAGGGATAATTACAATAATGTCCCTCCATATATAATTTTTTTCAATTAAGTCACTGTTTTCATTGAATAATTTTTTTATTATTATTATTTCGGGTCGGGTCGGGTGAAACCTTAATTTCATCGGGTCGGGTCGGGTCACGGGTGAAAAACCCTTTCTTCTCGGGTCGGATCGGGTGGCCCAAAAACCCGACCCGACCCGACCCATTACCATCCCTAGCTCAGCCCTACTTGAAAGTTTCCTGCACAACTTGCTTAAAAATCTGTGTGGTATTTTATGCAAATATATATGTTGGCAGTATTTAATTGGCTCATAGAAATGGATTGTTCCGTCGTGTTTCCCTCGGTTAAAAGTAGAGCATAGCATGTGGGGGGAGAATATTTTTGAAGCCTTTAAAGTGTGAACATTCCCATTTTCAAATGGAATTTCATATTCCACAAACTAAGTAAACACGTGCTTGGACTTTAGGCTGTGGGGACTCTCTCATAATGGTACATAAGTTTACGTGCACCACAATCTTGTTTAATTATAATCAACCCATCTGTTTTGGGATTCTTGAACCTAATTTAAATTTAAAGTCAATTAGCCTGTTCATCAATGATACAATGCGATAAAGCCACCAGGTTCAATTAACCTGCTCTTCTCACTCACCATTATGTTTGTAGTATATAGATTCTCTTGGCGCCGTTGTTTCACTTTCATTGGTGTTGTGTCATTAAGATATCGTGTTTTGACTATTAAATTTGTTAAACATTACATTAAGTTAGTTAGGCTTAAACTAAAAAATATATTTAAATTATATCATTTCTTTTATCGAAGTACCTAAATTATTTGTTGTCAAAATAAAACCTTAAACTATTATATATAATCACTTTAAACACTTCAACCATTTTTTAATCAAAATAAATCCTTAAACTATACGCTCATTTTCCCTTTAAACCCCTAAAGTATTTTTTGGTAAAAATCAAATACATAATTTGTGTAACGTGTTAACATCTTATTAGTGAGAATTTTCTTCTAACTAAAAAAAATGTTAGGACTTAAAATAATTAAATATAATAATTTAAATACCTAAATTGGCCAAAAAAAATAGTTTACATAAAAAAACATATTTTAAATACTTATTTTTTACTTTAAACCAATTAATTATTTGTTATTCAAATGAACCAAGAAATGTGTTATGAATGATAAAACTGGGATTTAATGAACATTCAACACTCATAAAAATTGAATTTTCTAATTATATTTTTTAGAATGTATATATTTTGTAAAAAAGTAAAAGCTCACAGAACTTCCACACTCTCCATTAAAAATAAAATAATTACTGAAATTAGGTGAAATATATTGATTCAAATAATACAAGTAATTGAGATCTTCGATTATACAATGCATACAAATAAATATCTATATATAATAAATTTATTAATTGGTCGAATAATGAAAAATCGTTGTATTATTGTATAATTGGAATCTTGATATTTATATTAGAATGTAAATCTTTCTACTTAAAAAAGTGATAATGATAATTTAGGTATAATTAAAGGGACAATGACGCCACAAAGTCACGTCAGCTCAGCTGTATGTAATCTAAACTCCTCCTCGCCGCACCTTTAGCATGTAAACGTGAATTTTAGTAAGCAAGAACGCGGAAGAAGATTGGAAGATTCTTGCTCGCATCGGTCCCAACCAATCTTCTCTCATTTCTTTCATTCATTTTGACTTTCGTCTACAACATTTTCTCACTTTTTTTATCGGGTTTGAATTGGTCTTCAACTCAGCCTTCTCTCCCTTTTCTATAATACCACGTCCCCTCCCCCATTTTATTTACGAGAACCCTTTGTATCTTAGCTTCTTCCATGTCGTTTGCTTTTGGGTCTTTATTTTAGTGCAGAGCTACACCAGTTGTTTTCATCTGACATGATCTAGTGTTGCTCCATTTTGTTTTGTTTTATGTTCTTAAAACTTGGGCGAAACTTGAGAGCAGATATTTGGGTGTAGACTAGTGCTGTTTTTTTTAATGGAAAAGGCAATGGATTGGGAGCAAAGCATGCTTTTGAGTGAGCTAACACAGGGGAGAGAATTAACGAATCTGCTTAGGAAGCATCTGCATTCATCTTCATCCCTTGAAACACGTCAAGTCTTAGTTGAGAAAATACTCTCTTCCTATGAGAAAGCTCTTTCCATTCTGAATTGCAGTGGTTTTATGGTTGAAACTCAACCCAAGGGTAGCACCGTAGGCTCTCCTGCTTCCATTGCCTATAGCAGCCATGGAAGCGACGCCTCTGATGAAAAACATACGTTTAAAAAAAGGTAAAAATAACCATAACTTCCCATTTTTCTTCTTCTTTCTGAACAGCTTTGTTTAATAGTTCCAAAGTTCAGTTGTAGATCATTGGTTTCCTTTTACAGAAAAACATGTTCGGGGTGGAGTGAGCAAAAAAGGGTCTGCTCCGGGACTTCTTTAGAGGGGCCTCTTGATGACGGATATTGCTGGAGGAAATATGGGCAGAAAGATATTCTTGGATCCAATTTTCCAAGGTAAAGAGATAAAGAAATTGGTTCTGTTTTCACTTTCATGGATTGTAATGTACATATGTTTTAAAATTGAATTTGTATGCACAATTTTAGGGGATATTATCGGTGCACTCATCGGTACTCGCAAGGTTGTTTAGCTGCTAAGCAAGTTCAGAGATCGAACGAGGACCCTACGATCTTTGAGGTGAAATATCGAGGAAGACATACCTGTAACCAAGCCACTCATTTCGAGAAAGGCGATCATTCTGGACAAAAGCAGCAACTTGAAGAGAAGCAAAAACAATCAAAGGAAACAGGGCTCAAGGTTAAAACAGAGGACTTGGACCATAGAGACGATATATTTCCTTCGTTTTGTTTCCCTATTGAATCAGGAGAAGTTGAAAACGGGTTATCTGTTAAGTCCCAAATGGAAAACGACATGGCATTTGTGTCTCCAGCGGCATCTGATTCCAACTATTTTTCAGTGTCACCGTTCCAAACGGGCAGGTTCGGTTTAGGCCAAAATGTGCAGACTTCGGAATCCGGGTTGACAGAAATAATATCTGCACCAACATCGGTTACGAATTCCCCAGTAGTAGACCTGGGTATTGCATCACTTGAGAAGTTGGAATTCGATCCGAGCTTCATGTTTGATTACTCTGAATTCTTCTCTTAAAGTAGTGCACTAGTTTTTCTTGTATGGGAGATGTTTTGTTTTCCCTTCATTTGCTTTTTGACTAGTCATTTCACTTAATTAGGAAGTGTTGAGAGTGTTTCATATACGAAATGGTAGAGAAAAAGAGTTGCAATCTTCATGTAAAATTTATAACTCCTGAATGAATTTAACGAGATGTTTAGTTCATAAATGTGTGTTGTAATATTCAGGGTAATGCAACTGATAGCAATCAGCAAGTTCTGCAGAGCTTGCGGATAGGAATCTAGCGATGATGGAAGGATTCTGCATGCAGAAAATTAGAGCTTCGGAAACATCATTAATGTGTACTTTGGAAGTTTCCCCACCAGTTCTTTGTCACGTGATTCTGGAACCTCAACCACCTAAAAAGTAAAAAAGAAAGAGCAGCAGAAAATAGAGGAAAAGGAAAGATAATTATTTGTTTCATATATGATGATCCATTGTTTTTGGACGAATGAAATCCCATAGGGTCGTTGGTTCCTCTTTGTTTGTCAATCCCTGACCCGACAGATTCATTTCTTACACTGGTCCTTTGTTTATGTTTCTCATTTGGTGGCACTCAATTTGGACATCGCCATTTTATCTCACAGCCAAAATAACACTAACAGTGACAGAGAAACAAATATGCAAAAAGGAAAATATATTGAAAATCAGATTTGAAAATGGAAGGTGGAATAGAACTAGGGTAAATATATAATACAAATTAAAGGAATGTATGAACCGACAAAATTTTATGCTGGGACGAGCTTTTAAAATTTTAGAGGTGACACACTTACAAAATTGTATGAACGAAAACATATTAATATTAAAAAATATAAAAAATATTTAAAATATATGATAATCTGAAAATTTAATCTTCGTTATCTATTTTGAAAGAAAGGTATTGATGAGAGATGACATTTACCTTTGGGAAAGGTATAGTTTGATGAAGAGAGGATCTCAAAAGCCTATGAAAGAGAGGGAAAGTGGATCTAATACTCGCTGATATCGCCTTTTCTAAACACAACCCTAATATTTCCTTTGATTCTTAAGATGGTTCTTTTTCTTATTTATGGCGTGTGGAGTGAGGCAGAGATATTAATGGGATTTTGAACAATAGCAAGGGTTCAATTATTTAAGGACTCGGCTCTTCCAAAGATCAAAATAGTTTTGTTATACTTCCTACTGTCATGGACTGCACCTTAGGGTCCAAGACTTTGGCACCTTTGCTCAAAAAAGAGGTTTTGTATGCGTAGACTTTGGCTTGTCAAGGCTAAGCTTACGTTGGCCTAGTTTTTGGAGAATGCTTACGAGTTCGAGAATGACCATTTTCGAGGGCACTCAGGAGAAGCGACGAGGGTGTTACATGTTCGATGGGACCAAATTGGTCAAGGCTCGTGGATTCGGACCATGGCATGTGTGTGGGTTTCCGTAGAAAAGTTATGTGGAATATTGGACTTGCCCATAACCATTAGACTTGGCCCGTTCCTTGGAAGGTTCCATAGTGGATAAGATTATCTTTTAATCTAAGTAGATAAATACTTAATTAAAGAGATAATGTTGTTGAATTCAAATTCCTTAAGATAGAGTTTTGATATGATTGGATTCAATGTAAGTCGTTGATGCACTTTGATCTAAATCGTTGGTTTTTGAGGGCCTCAACTATAAATAGAGAGCTTATCCCTTAATTTGTAATCAATTCATTCATCAGAGAGTAATAAAACTCAGGCATTTACTCTTGAATTCTTCCTTCCCTTATAGCCTTTGTTTCTAGTTTTCTAGCCTTTGTGGCTTTGTTACTTAAGCTTGTTGGCATTCTCTGTGTGCTCCAAAAATGCCCTAAGCTAGGGTTACCACCACCAGTTCACCATATTTTTCACTGCTCAAAAGTTCTTTTTCAGCCAATATCTTCGACACAGTGTATTCCTACCCAAAAAATACAATTTATTTTAGTTATTACCATCTCATATACAGTTTTTAAGTAACAGAACTTGCCTTAAGGAACTCATTAGAGTAAGAAAGTGAAAGATCAAGGGGGTTCAACAAGTTTCATCCATGGTGTTTTTGTAACCATTTCCGCCGTCTTTCAATGGTGATGCAGCACAAACTGAGGCAGTGTAGATTAATCGTTTGATGTTGCCTGATTTTATACAACACTCGGCAATACTTTTTTTTTGCGTAAATTGCAGCCTCTGTCGTGTTTTTAAACTGTTCATAAATCTCAAAAACCAACCAAAAGGGAATAAAAGTGATAGTTTTGGTAGTTAAACATCATCAGAATGTTTGAACGTGTAATTTACTCAAAAGAAATGTCCCAAGAGAGAAACCTGAGAATCAACAGAGTGTTGCATGGGAGTTGCAACATGGAAAACCAAGGAACAGCCATGAATCGCTTGCTCAAACTCATTTGGCTTGTATTTATCAGCTTCGAACAAAAATAATTTTGCGTCTGCATGAGGCAAGCTCTTGAGGAGTTCAACCTTTGAAACATCACCTGCCATAGAAATTTCCCATTAAAAAGAAAATGCATTCGAAACACAGTCGATTACAAATTGCAGAGAGCTAATAAATAGCCAAGTTTATGAGCGTGGCATGGACGATATATCCTTTCCCTAGTAGCTTCTTGGTCAGTGAAGAGCCAATGAAACCAGTGACTCCTGTAACACATACCCTGCAGTTGGCCTTCTCCATTGCTGCTAAATTATCTCACTTATGTGTGTGTATATGTATATATATATATATATATACACACACACACAATTTGTGCTATTGTTATTGTATAACATTTTGAAATTCTGATATAATGATAGTCAAATGATGGGATACACGCCACCGTGAGGAGGAAAATCAAATAAATCAAGGACTGATGCAAGGTTCGATTATTTCATACGATTGCACGTTTAAAAGTTGTCGTTTTTTTTTCTGGTCAGAGCAGCCAGCATAGACTTCTCCATAGTAGAAAAATGTCATTAATATAAAATCAGCCATGATGTCAATCATCAATCAATGTGGAGTGAAATACTAAATTAGAGCCGAGCCAAGACAAAAGTGATAGATTTGTCTTTGTCTCTTATGTTGATTCATTTAGGCACTCTTAATTGTTTATTTGAAAGAGAAAGATCAAAGTAATGATTTCATATGATCAAGACAATCAATCGAACTGGTCAGATAATTAAAGCTTTCACTATACAAATCTCAAACTTATATTATTTCATATAAATGAAATTTAATAATTTTATTGCAATACGAGCTAAATAATTTCAATAGTAAAATAAATATTATTATATCTTAACGTCTCGGGTTATAACACCATAAATATCATATTTAAGAATTATCTTTGAAAATATACTACTTTATATTTATTTTAGATTAATAAAAAATTAATTTTATTGTATGAACGATGTTGCAATTTCTTGCGTTATAAAAAAAAGTTATATTTGCTTTTTTCTGGAAAATTACTTATTTTATAATTCAATTATTATCACGTTTCTATTTTGGCCATCAAATTATTTTTTTAATAAATTTGTAATTAACGTTGTGTTTTTTTTTCTCTATTTTGATGATTGGTTTTAAATTTTCGTTAAATTTAATGCATGTGATGATGTGACCAATATAATAATAGTTTTAGTAAAAAAATCTATATATACTATAAATTTAATTTTAATTCAAAATTATTTAATAAATTTAATCATTAATATTTAAAAAATTTATCAATTTGATCCTTCATTAACTTATACTATAGCCTTAGTGCCACCATGTTGCCTTTATTCGACATTCAAATTTTTTCTTTGGTGCCTTATGTGAGATACAATATTTGATTGAGACATTTCAATCCAAGTAACATACATCACATTAATCATCAAATGACAAATTCGATCTCAATTTATATATTTAACATTTTTTTAACCTTTTAGAAAAAAAAAACATTTTTTTCTAAAATCATTAACCAACAAAGGTCATCATCAGAAATGTATTTAGACCATTAAACTAATCATTTTAGAAACAAGGGAAAGTCGACATTTTAAACTTGATATTCATAAAACATTTAAAACCCTCAACCGTTCTTTATTTGAACCTGAGCAATCGTTCTAGTTCTGGTTGAAGGTTTTTCCCATATCTGAAAATCTTGGTTGTTGAGAAACTTTCCTTTTTTTTAGTCGTTGATTCATCGCGACTGCCGAGGCTTCCTACGCCAGTTCACTTCATTGTCTTCTTTCTTCGTCGTTCCTACTGTCGTTCTTGATTGCTTCATCTACTGTCGCACTGCATGTGATTTACCATTGTCATCCTCCCTACTAAGAATCTTCTCGGTTCATCTACCATTATAGTTTCATCTCGATTTGTCGGGTGATGCCTTCCTTTTTTCTTTACCAGTGACGTGTCAATGGTAGAAGGTTGTATTGACAACGATAAGTGTACAGATTGTGGATGCATATGATTCCAAGAGATCACCATTCCTGGTATGAGAAAAACGCTTCGTAGGTTGCTAGTCATCTCGGGAACCTTAGTGCTTTAGCATTGGGTCCAGTTTTCATTCGTTTTCTAGTTGATGATTGATAATCTGCTTTGGTGATTTGTGTCCTGCATTTAGAGTTGTATCAGTAGATGGTGGTGTTGATAGTGTGTTCTGATTTCATTCAGTTTGCTGGTTATTGAGGATATACTACCTTTCTTCTTGCGGGTTATTGTTGGTCTGCATTATTGCCGATGTTAACTATATGGAGTTGAGACATTATAAAAGAAACATGTCTAACATGTTAGAAATAAAACTTGATTTCTAGAAAGTCGGCAAAGCTCGAAACATGTTGCAACATGTGACAATTAACTTGGCAGCATCTCAAGACAGATATGATGGAAGCTTATGTCCGCAAAAATTGGAAATTAATGAAGCTTAAAAATGTGGGCAGCAAACACATATAGCAACAGCAAAATTTACAAATTTGAAATGTCAAAGGCGGCAGACGTAAAAGCTTATAAGTGGCAGCAGCTAGTGAATTGCTTAGTTGAAAAGGTAATTGCAGTCGTAACTGCCCGTAGTGTCAGATAAACGTACACAAGATACCAGAACGCATTTATAATGCAAAATATAGAATCACT